TGCAGCGCAGCCCAAGCGCAGTCGCTGCTTACTGCGCAGTTAGCAGAGCGCGGGCACGTGAGGGTGGATGCATAAAAGAAGTGCAGAATGATAAGAATATCAGCTTGGAGGGTTCAGGGTATCCCCTAGTCGAGCAGTCTCGACTAGAGCCTTCTTACTTATTTTTTCTTTTCGTAATTCTGAAAACAGAAATCAAATACGCGTTAATTAAAAACCGGTTTGCACCCTGCCATATACCAAGCAAATCCAAAACCTAAACTGCCCGACGACCTTCAGCTGCGTGTGTAGCGATTGTTGTTCCTGGTCGGGTCTGGTCAGATCAGGTTGTGATGCACAGTAACAAAAATGCAAATTTCTTCGCGTTTAGGCATTTAATGTATGCCAGAGGCAAAGTATTCGTTATAAGGTACGATGGGAGCCATTGCTCTAAAATAACAAAATGAACTCCCGATAGTGGTTCACGATGCCACGATAATACAGAATCTTGAACAATGTTTGGCACATCTGGCACAAATTTTGGCACACATCAGGAGACCGTGATTTATATTAATTAAATTATGACAATGGCTCGAAATAGCTTATTTTTTTTACTGTGGTGTGCTTTGACTTGATAATCAGACATTCCATTGCCTAAGAAAAGGCAAAAGGCTAACGGCTAACGGCTAACAGTAAACAGGCCAAAGACAGGCATCTGCATCGACGTCAGCGAGAGCGTCCGCAGCATCATCAGCAACTCAACTTAAAAGATAATGGAGAGGCCATTAAGCAGTCGACCACATCCCCCCTAACCCCGACGCGCGACACGCGACACGCAACGCCCGGCACCCGATCAACCCGTTTTTGTATAGAAGCAAACGCCGTGGGGCGCGCTAGTCACGGAATTCCTCTGGGCAAGCACGTATTCTGAGGCGTTGCATACTTTAAGGCACGTTAAGTACGCTTGACCGAGTAGAGAGAGCGCGACATTGTGCTGCTAGGTGTGAAGCTCTGACGAGGAGGAGGTCGAGCAGGAGGAGAAGGTAGATTTGGGATACTCTAAGGAATTCCACTGTCAACCGCAATTCTCGTCTTCCCCGACTGCACTTTGTTGCTATTTATTTGCATTTAGTAGTAGGTGTCGCTAGCCAGACAAAGTGACTAAGTAGCTTAAACGGTTTACTCCTTTTCCTTTTGGTCCTTTCGGACCGCTCTCCCCCTTCCATGCTTTCATTTAATTGCGCGTTCAAATGAAATTAATTTTCGAGCAAATCTGAAACACGTAATTGCCGCGAAGCTGCAACTTTTTAAGGCGACGTACAACTACAACTGCAATTTCAATAATTCAGCCGGCGAGCAAGCTTGCTCGAGGTCCGGCATCATTTCTGAGCGCTGACTTTTTAATCTCGTTAAAGTAAGGTCAATCACTCAATTACCATTCTGAGTCGCGACTATAAGTACCTTTGTATACATCCCCTTGTCGTTGGTAAATGTTTTTTTTTTCGCGCAGTCTACTTTAAGTACATATTATATTGCGGCTAGACTTCCATCTGTAAGACCTGACCGTAACGCCTTAGGAAATCCAAAACTTTTCCCGTTTTGATAAGCCGACGAGAAGGGTTACAACTTAGTGTCTTTTGATAGTTAAGCTATTGCAAACTCGCTCCCAGTTGAGATTCTTAAATTTAATTAAACTCTTATAGACAGAACTTTTATATAATACAGTCGAAGGCGCCCGACTACAAAATTCGAAATATTATATTTACTACACTTTCATTGCTTCACAGATAAAATGAGTGGAATGAATGAGATTGTCTAGCTATTTAGACTGGAAGCTGTTAACCGCCAGGCGGTCGTTGATTTATTAAAATGAACCATGTCACAGATGGACTGCTCTTTAAAGAGTAAGGCATTTAGGGCTCTGTATAGCTGTTTACTAAACTGTAATCATAATACTATTACCATATGCCAAAATGCAGATGAGGTATTACATGCCCGAATTGTGTTTCTTCAGGAGAGCGTCCGTATAAGTGTCATCTGCCGGATTGTGGTCGAGCATTCATCCAGCTATCTAATTTGCAACAGCATCTGAGAAACCACGACGCCCAGGTAGAACGGGCCAAGAATCGTCCATTCCATTGTAATATTTGTGGCAAGGGGTTCGCCACAGAATCAAGCCTACGCACCCACACATCAAAGGTGAGTTTGTGTCACTGGTTTCATTGGCTAGCGGATTTCGATCATCCTTGACTCATTGACTCCTTGACTCACAAAACTTTGGTTTCTTTACGTACTTTTGTCGTCGCACCCTCATCGTCATCAATCCAATATTCACGGTATCTCATTCAACTGAACTCGCCTCAACTCAGGAGCTACAGCTGCATCTTGGTGTCTTGCAGCAGCATGCGGCACTCATTGGTGGACCCAATGCCACCTCATGCCCAGTGTGCCACAAACTTTTTTTGGGCACCGAGGCGCTTATGGATCACATGAAGCAGGTCCACAAAGAGAAGACCACGCCGCCGAACGAGCCACGTAAGAATTTCGAAATCCCACTCTCCCGCTCGCTCTCTCTCTCTCTCTGATTGATTCAATGCGACTCACTGAATTTAAATCCACGAATTCATTGAGTCCGGGCTTATTTGATACTTAAAACTAATGAGCTCTTTGTCTCATAGCGACGCAATTCGGAGATGTCATCCACGGCAGTGGCTCACTTACAGCGCAATGTGGGTCTGAGCTGAACTGCGCTCAGCCTTCGAATACCAGTGGGTCCAGTTTGAATGACAGCTACCTCGGCAAACGAAGAACCGCCAACCACCCCTGTCCTGTGTGCGGAAAGCACTATGTCAACGAGGGCTCCTTGCGCAAGCATCTCGCCTGCCACGCGGAGACCTCCCAGCTGACAAGCAGTCTGCGTATGTGGCCCTGCTCTGTTTGCCAGGCGGTATTTACTCACGAGAACGGTAAGTGCGTTGTTAATATTGAATATACATACATATGAATGATGTCTCCTGACTTGCAGGTCTTCTCACCCATATGGATCACATGCGTATGGATCCCAAACATCAGTTCGCGGCTCAATATGTGTTGGTGTGTACAATTGCACCTTCATTTCATATCTTAATATTGCAGAGCATTGTTTTCGTAATTACCCGCATATATCTTTATTTGGATTGCATAAAACCAAAGTGAACCCTATACTTTGCTTGCTTTACTTTTTAAATGGATGTTTCATTTTATATTCAGGTGTAACTTCTATTTTCTTATTTTAGTCTCGAGCGGCAGCCGAGCAAAGGGAACGCGAGTCCTTGTTGGCAGTGAGTTTGGCTGCTTCGTCGACCAGTAGCGGAGCCCGAGATCCAGCCGGACATCTGCTGCCATTGGATGTAGGTGTTAGGGTAGTTGGTATGGGTGTTACACCAGGAGGAAGGTCCCATTCGTTGTGTCCTTCGCCATCCGCCAACTCGGAGTGTTCGTCGAATGGACGGCTCTCTTCGTCATCCACTTCAGATCAGGATCAGGACCATGATCAGGGCCAGGACCAGGACCAGGACCAGGACCAGGACCTAGACCAAGACCAAGACCAGGACCAGTACCAGGACCAAGGCCAAGACCAGGACCAGGACCAGGCCCAGGACCAGGACCCCAACCAGGATCACGATCAAGATCAGGGCTTGAATCAAAATGACAACAGTAGTCATAACAATAACATTATTAGTGCTAGGAACAACAACAACAACAACAGCATTAACAACAACAACAACTGTAACTCAAACAAAATCAATTTGGCCGAGCTGCGCCTGCCCAGTTCCAGCCAGTACAACATGGACGCCGAGCTGCACGCAAATCGCATGTCCCTTATGGCAGCCGCTTCAGCTGCCGCCGCAGCTGTTGCAGCATCACAAGACAGCGCCATAGACGGCGTCACTGGCGGTCCAGGCAGTGCGGTTGTTCAAGCGGCAGTCGTCAACTTGGCCGCCGCCATGCGCCTTAACAACCCCGCAAATCATCAGCAACAGGTAAGGGCTAGCTGACTGACCGATTGGCAGGTTTGTCCGAATTGCTATAAACCAGAACAAGTAAGAAAGCTTTAGTCGAGACAGCTCGATTACGAGCTCGCGTGAACCCTTCGAGCAACTAATATTTCAATAATTATTAGCACATGCTACGGGAAATGAATTATTTAATAACTTTTCTTGGGGATGGACTATCTTTCTGAAACTTTTAGATCGTGATAATAAAATTGAAATGCCCACATTTGCCAAAGCACAAGTCTCCAGTATATGAAATACCCCTTTTACAAAGATAATGTTGAGGGGGTAGATATAATAGGGGGTAAATTTTAACAAATATCGAAATTTTATAAAGTACTTATGAATTTAGTCTAGCTTTCCAGCTTTTAAAATGTAGCAGATATACAATTATTATTGATTTACGATAAAGTTTTTAATCGATAACAAAATAAACGAAAGAAGGATCAATTTATGGAAATAAACTCGATATCATCGCTATATATACATATACGTAGAGACAGACGGGCTAAGTCGACTCAGCTCGTCGCCCTGATAAAAGGTATATGTACCTTGTGAGGTCTGGCACACGTCTTTTTGACTGTTACATGTATTTCAACAAATCATTATACACTGATTTTCCATTTTCAATGAGTTATAATAACATGGTATAACAAGTAAGAACGTTGCAGTCGGGCGTTACTTGCATTTAGTAGCTCGGTTTAGCTCTAATACTGTAGAAAATTCAGTTTTTTTCGATTTGCCACGCCCCTACTTGGTAAAGACACTTCAATTTTGTACAGTTCAGAGAACAAGCTAACGGTAACCTAACTTTAAAATTTGGATGCTGGCGCTCCAAAAATGTGAAAATTACAGGGTAGTTTTTCGATATGCCGCGCCCTTAAAGAGGCCTAATAATTATTTTTAGTTTCATCGGTAGAGGAGGTTACTAGTAACTTAACTATCCACTATTATATTTTAGGAGATATAAACTTTTGCGGTTTTCCACGCCCCCTGTAGGCGCACATATGTATATCCGCTTGACCGCATGGTCTTGAGGTCTCTAGCAACAATAGTGTCCAAAATATAGCAGAATTTGAAAAAATCCGATTTGCCACGCTCCTAGAGCGCGTGCACTTACAATTTTGTAATTAATATTAGCATTAGCTTACGTGCTCAATTTTAATCTTATACGATTTGCCACGACCCAATGGGCGTAGCCATATCCGCCATAGCTTGTGATCTTGGTGATCTTTACAAATCGGAGATTTAAACGAGTATGTACGCAATAAGAATGAGTATAGCATGCATATACACACGCGACTTACATCTGCGATCTGCAGATGAACTGCCCCGAAGTATCGCTGGAATTTTATGAACTCGTAGCGATCCTCATTTTGGAGGCCGTTACGTGCTGAATTCGCGATTTCAATTCATTCTTTTCGGTAGTAGCAATTCGAGACAGCTGCGTGGCCGTCGGCATGGATGTCCTCACGTAATACATTTCCAATGTGTTTTGTTTTTTTGGTATTTTAGCCCAGCGAACATCAGGTGCTTCAGCAGCAGAACCAGCAGCAGCAACAACAGCAACAGCAGCAGCAACAGCAACAACACCAGCATCACCACCAACACCAGCACCACCCCCAACACCAGCACCAACACCAACACCAGCACCAACACCATCATCAGCCGCTGTCGCACTTGCCGTTGCTATCGCCGCTCGGCAGCCAGCAGGGCCACACGGGTATCAATCTGGGCACTCGGAGATCGCCGGGTATAAACGTGCCTAGTTTGCAAATGCAGAGTGACACGTCGGCATCGGTTATGATGAGCATGATGCGCGGCTCTTTGGACTCTAGTTTAAGCGGCATGCATCAAAGAGAGACACTGCATCATCAGGCATCCAACTATTCGCAGCACGCTGTGACGCCCAGCTCACAGCAAACGCCGTCGCATCCACAGCATCTGCATAACCAGCATCCGGAGACCGCACTGCGGATGCATCAGCAGGCGGAGGCCATATTGCGCTCACACACAGAAGCAGCGTTCCGTCTGGCTGCTTCGGTGGCTGCCACAAACGTGACACCTTCTAACCCTGGTGGAGCTGGGGCTACAATCAAAAGCGAATCAACAATAACATGTTCTGCCACTACACAGCAGCAGCAGCAACAAGTACAGATCAATGGTAGTGATCTGCATGCATCGCCCCGTCGTTTCCCAATGATCACGAACCAAGCATCACATAGCACCCACCCGCAGACGCAACACGAACAGCAGCCAAATCAACCCAATTCATGAAGTCTATGAGCTCGAAGTTGAACTACAGAGACCGGGCACAGATTACCGCACCGAGAACCTAAAACATTAAGACGCATACATATATGTTTATGTTTATGTATATGTATTTAAGAGAGAGAAAGCGAAAGAGAAAATACATACTCCTCCTGTCCCACATGCCTACACATATATGTACCTATCAATTAGATACGAAATATTTGCCAGGGCTTATTCTCTTTATCTCTCTCTCTCTCTCTCTCTCTCTCTCTCTCTCTCTCTCTCTCTCCATATACATATACATATGTATATAAGGAAGCATACCTTATTTAAGTAATTTAATCGTTCTTGGTCAGAGTATTTAATAGTTCCAATTAATTTCAACTAATTTCGAAATTTTGAAATAGTAAGTGTTGTAAAATATACACGCACAGAAATATATGTAATTTTGCATATAAGAATATATATATTTATGTATACATTTGTAAATGTATATGTACAGAACGATGTGTGCGCACGTATTTAGATTTAACTAAGACTCTCTGAACCGGGATTTTTAGAAATAAACACAAAGAAATTTAACGCGGTCAATCTATGGATTCCAGTCTTTCTTATTTAAGACCACCCCTCTCCCAAAAGATTAATTTTCTTAATTACGTGCAATAGATTTCAAGTTTTTACTGTAGTTAAGTATTCGGAATCATTTTGATTTTGTATAAAGAGGATATACTATAAGATTAAAATTATGTATATACCTTATAAGTATATATAATGTAATAAATCGCAAAAGAAATCAATTATTTTCCATATCAGACTTTAAAGATTTTATTTTTCCAGGTGGTTTTAGAGTCAAGCAATAAACGTATTGCCGGTTACATGATATAGTTATATATGTACTTTTACTTTTTTGAATTCCTATTATTAATTTGTTTCTGTTGATTGAATTATATGAAAATATACACAGTGGAATATCTTAAAGACCGTCCTTCCCGTGCCCGTCTAGGAATCTGGGATCGGAATGTTGTGTAATTCGTTTATTTTATATGGATACTATTCCAAATAACGACGTTTAAACAGACAATCATGCACAGATCACCACAAAAGCAAACTACTGTGAAGCTCCTGTTTTTATTCATTATATATTTCTTTTAAGTAAAATTGTGTGGTTGACATATGTATATATATATCAACCTATTTTAGAATTGCATTTTTATTTTATTCCCAAAAATGAATAAATTGCATGCTATAAGTGGGGAGTGTATTACTTTTGACTTTCATTACTTAAAATAAGTTATGTGTCTGTGATTGTGAAAGTGTGTCAATATGCATGTGTATATTTAGAAAGTAACAATATGCTAGTTAGAATCTAATTCGTTCACCACGCCAGGCTCTTGCCTATTATTATGGGGCTGATGGTCTTTAATTAATGGAAGCATTTCCAAATGGATCCTATTACTGCTGAAGACACTGTACAAGTAGATTTCTGGAGTAGTTTCCGTACGGATGATACATTGAGCAGTTCCATTTCTAAAAAAACTGTACAACTAGAATCCAAGTTTCAATTAGATACGTTAGATGACGACACACTTAGTCAATTCCCTGCAATCCACTGCTGCGGGCGCGCTTCTGCGGCGAGCTGTAGCTGCTTGTAGAAGAAGCTACGCCACTCTTCTCCTGGTTGCGCTTTAAGTTAGTTGCGTTTGCGGCGCCTTGTAGTTTGGTTGTTGTAGGATCTGCAAATAGGGTGGGTGAATACAAAAATCAAAGGTATGTATGCATGCGTATACATGCCTTGCAGCCATCTGACTTGCGTCGCGGGCCCGTAGCCCTTTTGGTTGCGTGCTGCGATTCGGAAAATAATGGCTGGTTTATTGGAGCAGTCGACATGCGCATTAGATAGCGACGCATTAGGCACTGTACACTGATTGGCCGCGCCCACATAAACGCGTACGAATGCCAACTGAGGCGATGAGACCTTGTCTTTTGTTGTCGGCTTGACAGCCAGATAAACCGAGTATTCAACTATTTCCTTGGTCTTTTGCGCCGGTGGCGGTTCCCATGTCAGATGCGCACCCTCCTTAACATCCTTGGATATCTTGATGGCCGATGGGGCACCAGGGAAACCAGGTAGACACGTCTTAAAGCTTGATATCTACAAATGCAAATGTTAAATATAGTTCAACCACATATATACATACATACACATACAATGGATGATTATAAAAATGAAATTGATACAAACCTCTCCCCATTCACCACGCCCACATGTGTTAACTGCAGCCAAACGAAAACGGTATGCGGTACCCGGATCCAAACTGATACGCGGATATTGAGATAAGTCGGGTAGATTATCGGCATCAAAATTTTCTAGCTGAACCTCGTTAAAGTACTTATAATCAATATAGCTAGTCACAGTATGGGACAGATCCTTAAATATTCCCACAGTATGCCATTTATCGTTGTCATCGATGGTTGGATTGGTAACGTTGACGGGAGGCTGAAACAAAAAATAGGGATTTATAATATATATATATATATAATATAGTACACAATATAGAGACTTACATTGCAGCTTTTCTGTTGATCAATCGATTTGCTGCAAGTATGGCCAGCGGATAAATTATCCAATGGGCTTCTACTTGGCTTACTTGAATCTGCTATCGCGGTGGCCGCTTGCATAATAGCTGCCGATGCCAAAGCCTCCAACTGAGAGCCGTCCACTGTAAATTTTTGGAATAAAAACATTTTACTATTGAATATTAAGAGTGCCCTGTTCGGATGTGCCAAACTAGTGATTACTCAGTACCAAGGTCATATGTATATATACACATATATAGCATAAGCCCATAAAGATGTCAAGAATACAATTATCAAATTTTTATTTGTCATATTATTATTAAGAAAGAACAACAATTAGTGTATGTTACACACTTTGGCGCCCCGTAGAATGTTCAGGCATGAACATACAAATATAAGAATATGATATACATGCCACCTACGCACTTATCGGCAAGCAGGTAGTACGATGGGGCAAAAATAATGATCAATGTGCGGACTCTATAGACAGATGAACGCTATGAAAAATGTAAGACACGAGCGCTAAGAAAGCTCTAGTCGAGACTGCTCGACTAGGAGATACCTAGAACCCTCCAATCTAATATTCTAATCACTCTGCACTTTTTTTAGTCACACATACATACACACGCGCGTTATAGAACGCGCTCTGCTAACTGCGCAATAAGCAGCGACGGCGCTTGGGTTGCGCCGCAGTGTGGGCAATATTACAGGAATTTATTTGTTGAATTATTTAATTTATAGACGTACCGTCTTAATGAAACATTCTGTACTTAACCAATATGTTCAAATGTACATACATTTTATGCACAAGTCTCTATTACTTGAAATACGCCTTTTAAAAAGATGAGGCTAAGGGGTTGGGTAAATTTTAGCAAAAATCGAATGTATAAAATACACTTAAGTCTACATTTAAAATTTGGAAGCTCTAGCTCTAACGGTGTGGAAGATATAATTAAATAACTAGCTTTCGATAAGGTTTTTAATCGATAATAAAATATCGGGAATAATAATCGATTTTAAGATAAAAAAATTCGATATGCGCGTTATACACACGGACGTAGGAAACAAATTTCAAGACTGCTCGACTACGAGATCCCCTTAGCCCTTCAAGCCACTGTCAATAATAATTCGCACATGCATGGATTTGCCAAAGCACAAATGTGTAGTACTTAGATTGTATAAAATGCATCTAAATATATATTTTTAATTTGGAGACTCTAGCTTTAAAGATGTAGGAGATATAATTTTTTAACTGATTTTCGATAATGTTTTTTGACGATAAAAAATAACGGGATGATGATGAAATTTGAAGAGTCTAGCTCTAATATCTTCAGAGATCGGCGCGTTCATATACATATACGGACAGACGGACGGACTGACAGACAGACCGGCCCTAATCAAGAATATATATACTTTGTGGGGTCTGCCACGCCTCCTTCTACCCTGATTTCTCATTTTTAATGGGTTCAGGGTATAAAAAGAATATGAATGATTTAAACAAACCATTTTGATTATGATGTTGTCGTAGAGCGGAGATTGCTAATTGGCTTTCTGAGGCATCCGAATCGCTTGTTGTAGATATCCCAGTGTCCTTGAATATGGTATTGCTGCTGCTACTGCTAGCTAACCCCTCACCCGATTTAATTGTAGTTAATATATTTGCAGCCTCAGTCTCCGAAGCAGTCGGCAGATTAAAGTTCGTTGCTGTGGTTGTAACTGAAGCTAAGAAGCCAGACTGGAAAGATACGTTAAAGCCGTAAACAAAATCTGGAGGCTTTCCACTATATGCTTACATTCGAGTCGACGTTATCGTTCTTATCGTGAGTCGCAGTCGCGACGGAAGCTTTCTGGACATCCGTCGTGCTACTAACACCGGCAGTATCATCAATAGCTGGATCTGTCATTTGGATATCTGTTGATGGATTTTGTGCGGTACTCGACATGTCTGCCGAGGGCACTAATGTTGACGTTAGCGTTGATGTTAATGTCGATGTCGTGGTTAAAGACGTGGCAGCAATTACAGTCCCGTTCCCATTCTCCATGTCCTCCGGTGCTTCTGGTTGATCCTTTGTCGGAGTTAGTAGATCGTCAGCACCGTCCAGTTGCTCGATGATGTCATCAATGGTATCGGTGTCACCAATTGTGGAAAAAGCAACCGATGCCTCCGCAACGCTGGTCTCCTGCTTCTCCTTTAGCTGATGCCCGGTGGTTTTTATTGCCGGTGCCGTTGGTCTAGTTGTCAATGCCAATGTGCGTTGGCCGACCACAGCGCCACCAGCGGCAGCGCCAGCATTAAAAATATTCACAAACCCTTTGCGCGCAGCCGTCGCTCCGGGCAACATGACCAACTTGTTGGTCGAGCTCGTACCTGGCGAGCTGGATATGCTGGAATTGGCGCTCATTACAGTCACCGACTTGCCTCCAATGTATACGGCGGTCTTTTGCTGCGCTAGCTTCTGGCCAGCAACGACACTGCTACTAACGGA